CAGATACAGATACAGATACCGATAGTGGTGTACTCGCTCATGCCTATTTCAAACCCTCCCAGCAGCCACGGGAGCTCATTCCTGGGCCGGAGCCGGCCGGCAGCAGCGGGGGATTGATAATTTGGCATATAAGTCACTTTGGTATATAAGTCGCAGGACCAGCCAGACGATGAAAAAAGTGTGACTTATAGTCTGGAAAATACAGTACTTAATGAAAAATGACCCGCACTTGTATAGCTCCTCTCAGAGTAAGGACTCCAAAGCGCTTTACACTACAGTGTGTCATTCATCCATTCACACACACACTCACACTCTGATGGTGATGAGCTACAATGTAGCCACAGCTGCCCTAGGGCGCACTGAGAGAGGCGAGGCTGCCGAGAACGGGCGCCACCGGTCCCTCTCGCCACCACCAGCAGGCAAGGTGGGTTAAGTGTCACCCAAGGACACAACAGCAGAATTCTCTGTCCGGAGCCGGGATCGAACCTGCAACCTTCCGATTACTGGACAACCCGCTCAATTACTGCCCCCCAATAGAGCTCCGGGAGTTGACGTCACTTCTCCCGGCATGCAACAGTTCAAATCGAAACAGCGCCATATTGGCAGGCAGAAGCCCGCAGCTGTTATTGTCAGAAAACTCAATCAAACAGGAAATATGGTAGATTCCTGTTGTGCCCCAGGATGCAGAACAGACGCAGACGACATAAGGAATGAGCCTCCGACAGGACTCCCCAAGATCCGGAACGCCGCAAACGTTGGATCATTGTAATGAAACGCGCTAGCCTCCAGGCTAAAATGAACCTGTGGGACCCCGAGAGTAAAGGATTTCGCTTATGCAGCGACCGCTTCATATCAGGTACTTAAACCAACGTTTCCTCAACTGTGTATGGTATTTATTTTAAATGCTTTTATTATGATTCTTAGTGGGCTTCCTAAACTTATTTTGGCGTGGCTTTTTCTGTCTTATTACTCACAGCAACAAGTAAACATCACGCAAAACGTTGCCTCGTGAGTTCTGCGTGCTGCCATTTACGTGTTTTATGATCACAGCAATTAACCGGCTAAGCTGTATTTAATTTTTAAGCAATGGTTGATCAATTGTCAGATCACACATAAAAAGCACTTTGGATTGCTATTATCTGTCTCACCGAGACAGATCTCAGACAGATCCTGAGACGCTCCTGCCTGACATATTTATTTTATTCACGGAAAAAAATCAAACTAGTGATTCCTCTTGGCGTTCAGTTTATACATTCAAACAGCACAGCACTTTATTTAAACTACTTACATGTAAATCTGTTATTTGTACATCCATCCATTTTCATCCGCCTATCCGGAGTCGGGTTACGGGGGCAGTAGCGTCGAGAGGCCCAGACTTCCCTCTCCCCAGCCGCCGGAGCCAGCTCCTTCGGGGAAATCCCAAGGGGTTCCCCGGCCAGGTCCGGTAAGAGGTCCGCTCCGACAGCTTCTGGCGTTTTTAAAAAGTATCCCAGGGGCACGGTAAGGGTCGGAGATGCTTAGTCTATTTAATTTCTGACTATTTAAAACGATTTCTTCGGTTTTAAAGTGTGAAGTAAACTCAGACGAAGTAAAATCCAAGCCGATCCCGTTCACGTTCATGTTTACGATCCGTGTTTGTTTACCTTTTTTTCCTGCCAATATGGCGTCTACTAACTGAGAGTCACATGGGGTCCGGAGCTCTATGGTACTTAAAGGGTAGTATTGATCAAGAATTACATTTTAACAAAAGTGAGAAAAGCTTAAAACTTGAAGGGTACAGTGATGCTGACTGGGCAGCTGATAAAGACGACAGAAGAAGTACTACAAGATATGTGTGGCAAGGTGGAGAAACGAGAGCCCGGGCGGGATTCCCAGACTCCCAGGTGAGAGTCACGCGTGCTATCCAGTCAGCCAAAGGGACATCCCCTTGGCCAAGTAGCCAGGGCGCATGATCAATCGGGACGTTGTGACAGGACGCCCACACTGCCACATATTGTTTTAGTCTATTTGAAAAGGGTCCGATTGTATCACGGAAAAGTAGAAAACGACCTACAGTTGCGCTATCAACATGTGAAGCCGAGTATATGGCATTAGCTGCCAAAACTCAAGAGAGTATATACCTTGTACAGCTACTTAAAGGGATAGATAGTTGTAACAAACATGTACCCATCAGAATGTACGGAGAGAACCAGGGGGCAATGGCATTATCCAAAAACCCAGTATCCAGACACAGAAGCAAACATATAGATATTAGATATCATTTTGTACGATCAGCGTATAACAGAATGATAAACATCGAGTATTGCTCTACAGAAAACATGGCTGCTGATGTATTCACAAAGCCAGTACCAAAAACAAAGTTCGAGACTTTTAAAGAGTACTTGTTTGGAAAATAATGTGAACTGAAAAGACGTGATGTACTGAAGACGCAAACGAAAAGGTGAAGAAAGAAAAACAAAAAAGAGAAAAAGCAGAGGAGGCTAAGTCTGTTCTTCTATTTTTTACGCGCTTTATTGAAATTTACGTCGTATGTGTATTACTCATTTATTTAGTACAATAGAGAATCACTAGACATGCCTTTGAGTTGGAGTGTTGAGTATATTGTGTAACAAAGGCATGTCACGTGACTCGAGTGATGACATCACATGAACTGTGCGAGTACCGGAATGCTATTTCTGTTGAGCATGCTCAACAAACCATCTGTGTGTTCTCTAACTCGTACCAACAGGAGAAAGATGGCGACCTGTGTTTTTTCCTCCGGTGATTGTTAGCGGCTACACTGTTTAGCTAACCACTTTGGTGGCAGGTATCACGCTGAAAGATATCTAACGTAACAGAAACGTACAATCCTGGAAAAATCTCATCCAATCAGAGTGCACGTCCTGTTCTCAATAACTGCATCAAAATCCCCCCATCAAACTGTGTGTGTGTGTGTGTGTGTGTGTGTGTGTGTGTGTGTGTGTGTGTGTGTGTGTGTGTGTGTGTGTGTGTGTGTGTGTGTGTGTGTGTGTGTGTGGTCTCACCCTGTGGGGTCAAAATGATCACAAGAACGGTGAGCAGAAATCCCAGAGCACGTGGACCTGAATGGCCTGCAGAGAGCTATATTAGATGGCTCAGAAAAGAAAATACGAAATAGGAAACATGATAAATCAGCCAACGTGGAGTAAAATAAAAGGAGAAAATTAGAAATGTTGTCGAGAAAATGTGTAGAGTCCTCATCTGACCACTAGATGTCAGCATACTCGTTTTTGTGATGAGAGTAGCTTTCTTCTGAGTGACGGTTTCTAGTGTGTGTGTGTGTGTGTGTGTGTGTGTGTGTGTGTGTGTGTGTGTGTGTGTGTGTGTGTGTGTGTGTGTGTTTCTAATGAAAGCCGGTTAAAGTGAGTCATCACCTGAGTAACATTTCATCCAGGTGTTTTTTTTTCTACATTTAATCGTTCAGACGAGTTTTGGCGAAACATTTTAGTATTTTCTAAATAAGCAGAAACACTTTAGCTGCATTCATGATGGACTCGAGTCTCTTTGATGGGTCTTTAAACAAATCTGGAAGAAGGAATCATTTTATATACTGAGCACTGATGTCTGTCTGGGACAAAACTCATTTAGTTTTTTTTTTTAATTATTCAAAAAATGGTTCATTTGGGTTTCCTTTTCTGTGCTTTCAACCAATTTAAATGATTAAACAGTAAAAAAAAACTGTAAAGGAAAAAATCTGAATCAATGCAGAAATTTGATTTATTTTATTTCAAACAGCAGCCAAATCGGATGTATTTAGTTATGTTTAAAATGGGGTCTGAGGCATCAGTCACGAATATCTGCGGGTTTTCCATGTTTTTAGTTTAGATCTCAGAGACAGGACTCGTTTAGGGGCTCCTGTGTCCCCACAAGTCCTCTCGCACGAATCCATCACTCACATATCTTTGCTCCCCAGTCACGACCTAAATGATGACAAAATTCTGCACCACGGGATGCTGACGTCACCACGGCACAGTCACCACCTCGGTGACGTTACTTGACGGAGGCAGCAGCAGTCCGGGTTGGTGCCATCTGCTGGATGGATAAAGCCACTCTCCCCATTACGTCATCTGGGAGAAACCGGTGAAGCTCGGAGTTTGAACGTTTTTTCTTTCTCTCCTAAATCAAAGAACAAGCTTAAAACCGGCCAGAGATCCTCCTGAGTCTATTAAGAGTCTGTGATAAACACATATAGTCAGTAGAACTGAGTTCACAGCTGAAATAATCTGATTTATCATTTTAGTCAGTTTCCTTTTTTGCTCTTTTCTGAATTAAAAAAGTATCTAAATATTTTAATTCTGCTTTAATTTTGGCAAATGTTTAATAAATTAGCCTAAAGGTTCATTTTTGATGTATTAACAATCATGTTTTAAAGTTTAACACAAAAATCTGCTGATAAAATAGTTTTTGAGGCGTTTGCTACAGACGAGCAGCTGTCCACGGTGCTGAAACATTTGCCTTCTGGCTTTAATTTGGCCAATAAAACAACACAAGTCTCGCGAGAAGAGGCGCTGGCTGTTGGGTTTCTGTGTGATTTGTGTAGATACTAATGAGCTGGGAGGTGTGACCGCTTCTGGGTGAAACGGCAGGATGTGCGTGTCACGCTCCGGGCTTTGTGATGCTGTTGAGGACTCCGCTCTCACATGATTAGGTGCTCCTCCGCAAACACCCCGAGAGAGAGGAGTTCTGAAAGGAGGCGCGTACTCCGCCTTCGCTGCTCCAGCGTCCAGCTCCAGACAAGCAGGCCGGCCGGGCCAGGAGAAACGGGGCCCGGCTTCACACAAGCCGGATATGGGCTCACCGTGAACCCGGGCGGAGGAGGGGAGAGGCAGGGGGTGAGGAGGAAACACCCAGAGGGAGGAGGACAAACAAAAAGCACAACCAGATGCGCCTAGAGCCGTGAGCGGCGGGACGCTTGAGCTGCGGCTGTTGCTGCCGCTGCGCCCGTGGACCATGGCGTGAGCCGAGATCCGGCGGGAACCTGCCAGCCGAAACGACACGCCGAGGGGGAGCAGGAGGAGGTGGGGGAGGTGGTAGGGTGGTGGTCGGAAAGATGTCCGCTTCGGTGGGGCCCCAAAGCGGCCCTCGCCCACCCACCGCGCCGCCGTCCATGCCGGATCTGCCGGACCTCAGCCACCTTACCGAGGAGGAGCGGAAGATCATCATGGCCGTGATGGCTCGGCAGAAGGAGGAAGAGGAGAAAGAAAAGGCCATGCTAAAGTAAGAGCGACTCCCCGGAGTATCACACACACACACACACACACACACACACACACACACACGGGTTTGCTCAGTTTACGCTCCTGTTTCTGTCTGAAAACGGAGAATTGTTAAGCTTCACACCGACAGGGAGGCGCGTGGAGCCCGGGAGGAGGCTCCGCCGGGTCAGAGTTAGACCCGGGAAATAAATCAAAGCGCCCGTCGGCCTGGAACCTGGCCGTGCAGGTGTGGGGACGGGGCATGACACCGTGTGTGTGTGCGTGCGTATATTGGGGGTGGGGGTCATCGCGTTTTCCATCTATCGTCGAGTTGATTTTATTAACGGAGGCTGCGCCCCGGTCTCCGTTACACATCCAGCTTCGCCGTGCTTTCCCTTTTACGCACGCACGCACCCTCGCGCGCGTTTTCTCTGTGTGGGTTTCTCCAGGTTCGGCGTGCTCGCGCGCGTGTGTGTGTGAGAGAGGGGCTTTGATGATAATAAGATCAACAATGAGATTAAAAACCATCAGACCTGCGGGGACATGAGGCGGCGAAGCGGAGGAGCGCTCCTCTCCTCCGCCTTTTCCGCTCCTCTGAGGAGGATGGGGTGTGGTTGGCAGACGTAGCAGGCCCGAACCGGACACGTTCTGTCAAGAAAATGTACTGAATGTGAAACAACCCTTCTCAAATGCTCAATCAGACCACATCCATATCTGAAGCAAAGCCCCGAAAGCCTAAGGAGGGAGGTACAAGGTTCTGGTTCTGGGATTCTTCTTGCGTCCCGATCTGATCCCACTTGTGAAACCGCGTCAGCTGATTCTGGATCTCCTGCTTGAAGCCTGCAGGTCCATACCTCCTCTCTGGCTCTAATGTCTGGCTTCATTTCCTGAGTGCAGTTTGAAGGGAAGTTCTGGGAGGATCCCTGGAGACGAACGGATGTATTTAATGTTCACTGAGACGCAGGTCCAAAATGGCTCCATTATGGCCGATCATTAGGCCCAGATCAGCGTGGACGGGACCGATGAGAGTAGATGAGAGGAGCGGAGTGAGAAATCTCCTCTCCAGTTTTAGCCTCAAGAGTAATTCCTGGTGAAACTCGTTTTCTGTGAGCCCACAGAACACACCTGACGTCAGGTGATGAACAGACATCTGAGCAACGTTTATGATCGGTTCTGTTCAGACTCAGTAAGATCATGGTGGAGTCGAATTAAAGCGCCACATTTGATTGTTTGAAACTAATCAAATTCCTCTCATTAGGTCCACTTTAGTACAACTGGGTTGGACTTGCTTCTGTCTTCAGAACCGCCTTAATTAGTGCCATGGAATCAACAAGGTTCTACAACGTTCCTCAGAGGTTCTGGTCCATCTGACATGATGACCGCATCAGCTCTATCCATGATGAGAAGCTCCCGTTCCACCGCATCCCAAAGGTTCTGGACTGAGATCTGGTGACTGTGGAGGCTGTTGGAGACCAGTGAACTCGTGGTCATGTTCTAGAAACCAGTTAGAGATGATCTGAGCTTTGTGACGAGGTGCGTGATCCCACTGGAAGTTGGGTAAGGGTTAGGATGCAGCTGGCCAGGCTCATCAGACCAGGAATGTTGTTCCAGTCTCTTCTGATCCACTGACTCTGTGGGAATTGTAGCTTCCTGTTCTTGGAGACATCTGGTGTGATCTTCAGCTGGCGGAGTCCATGTGGAGCAGCTAGTGTTGTTCTGGTCTGGTTCCAACAATTACTTGCTTACACCAGTTTGAACTTCACAAGTTGTTTTCATGTGCTGATGACTGAATGCATGGTCTTGCTGAAACATGATTGGCTGGTTAGTTTTTGGTGTTGTACCTGTTTCAGTGGCTTGTGATTTGCTAATTTTGCTAAAGGTTTTCATTGAAAAGCTTCCAGGAAATGTGATTTATCTGCAAGTGATTCTGGGTTTCTGTTTGAGGTAAGAGTAACGGGTTTGAGCAACTTCTTTAAGAAATTATCGTCCAAAAAACGGAAAAAAGAATCTGAAAATATTCTGGAAAAATGAGAAAAAGTTCCATTTGTGCAGAATCTTCTATGCAGAAGATCTGTGGTGGAGCTCGACCCGAGTCTGTTACTGAACAGAGGACTCCAACTGTTCTGGGACAGTAGAGACTAAGTGTGGTTTGCTGTTCGACACCAGATGGAGAGGAAGAGTCATCAGGACGCGGGTGCGGACGGGGGAGAAGCAGGGAGGATTTGGAGGTTTTAGGGATTAGAGCGGTGGGAAGAGGGAGACTGAAGTTATGGAGGAGCTTCTGGAAAAGGTCCTGAACATATAAACTTGGTTATGGCTGTTTGCAGAATCCGTGGAGCTGCAGGATGCATCAGATTTGTGCCAGAGCTGATGCTTCTCACATCTGATCAGGGAGGTGTAGGCTTCATATCAGCTGGTCAGAAAACAGTTCTGTCAGGATCTGTTTCAACCTGCTTTCCTCTCGTCGTTCATCTAAAGTCGTGCAGTTTTCATTAAAGGTCAGCTTTACTTGTATTTTTAATACAGGTGCAGTGGTCTCTATGAATGCCTTATAAGTCGTACTCTGGGGCGAAAAGCTCCGGTGCGCCTTTTTGTACACGGAGTCAGCTGGAGGAGAACGTGGCAGAAGTTGACATTTGGAGTCCTGTTTCCTGATATTTCCATATCTTGCCTCTGATTGGCTAACAGCAATGCACCTCTACCACTGGCTCTGTTTGCCTGGAGGAGTTCTGCTGTGTGGTGATGTTGCTAATGCCAACGGTCAGTACCGCCATCACTAGTCCCTTTATCACAACGATGTTGACAAACAAGATAGTTGACTGTAAATTTCCTAGCCAACATTGTTTATTCTATGAGCATTTCTTTATTTCTCCTGTTGCTGCACCGTCAGTGGCTGCTTTCTGCCTTTCAGCTGGAGGCTCATGCACAGTAGCGGCCACCCTTGCCTATCATCGGTGGATAGAACAGCCTGTGTTCACAGAAATGGTTTAAATTCTGCAAGACTAATGAGCTAACGGCTAGTTTGAGTCAACGGTGATGCCGCCTTTTTGTAAAGGCTCCAAACTCCCAATTTTCACAGCGATTTGTGTGATCTTATTTGGTAAAACTTTATACAGCATAACTCAGAGTTCAACGCATTCTCACACCCGAAGCGTCGAAAGCGCTTGGGTTGCGTTGGAAACAAATCCTTGGTCACGCAGCTTCACTTTCGACGCTTCGGGTGTGAGAACCTGTTGCTGAGTTACCTGCTAGAGCTGAAGCTGTTTCGGCATTGTGCTCGTAAACAACCAACTCGTGTGAAACTAACAAAAGTGTAAATATTAGTGCTGTGAAAAATAACCTCTTAATTTAGTTAATTAATGTGAAATGTTAAATGCATAAAAAAATTAACGTAACTAGTGCAGTTTTTCTAATTTTACGTAATCCGACACCTCAAACTCGTGAGCGGCTCTGAAGGAGGGGGCAGCATTGCGCTATGCTGGTGTCTGACCTGCTGGAAATGGTTAGAAGCAGCAGAAAAAGAGAAGGAGAGGAAAAGCTCGCTAGCATGGACAATGCTGTCCATGGAGCGCTGTCTAGATGGGTACAAAGCAGAGCCCAACATGGACACTGTCCATTACAGTGATGGTTGAAGAGAGAAGAAGCACGTTCCAGACTGGCACCTGTTGCGTGCAAGCACCTGTCAACCGCTGCAACCACAGTGCCTTGTGAGAGATTATTCTCACTCTCAGGTCACATCATTGGTGCGCTCCAGGCTGCTGCGTCCAGCGCACGGTCCATTCTCAAAGTGGTGCAACCAAAAAACTATAATTAACCCACGATCGTTCATGTCCGCACATGTTCTCTACTTTCTGTCTTATTTGTGCCTGAAGCGCTCTGCTACTGCGGAGCTCATCACCTGTGCTGCGGTGATTTCACCTCACTGACGCAGCATCGAAACGCGCTCTCCGCTTTGCGGTCAGGAGATCCCTTTGGTCTGCTCAAAAGTAACTGATGAGGTGAAAAAGTAAGAATTCAGGCAGCAGATTTTCTGGAGAGTTTAGAGGAGATGCAGGAAGATGAGAGACAGACAGGACAGGAAATAGTTAAATAAAAACAAGAAAACAAAACAAAAAGTAAAATGTAGGTAGATTTATCTCCACTACACGTGTTTACCTGTATAAAACAATAAGTTACACACATGTCATATTTATACATCGGATACAATTCAGATCACCCTTCAAAACTCTGTCACACACCCAGGGCCGTTTCAAGACATTTTGGGGGCCAAGGCAAAATGAACCCCCCCCCCCAAACTGGGCTCCCCGGAAGCCTCTGTGTAATCCAAACCCTGTCCAGGAGTATTAGTTATACAGTGTTTGTAAAAGCCCCTCAGACATTACTGACATGTTCTAATATTATCAAATGGAAAACAAACTGTCTCATCTGCTGCTTTTCTAAACTTGCAAAAAGTAACAAAACCATTTGAAAGCCACTATTGGTGAATTCTCTGAAAGTTTCCATGGAGTGTGTGACAACTTATTTTTTCATTGAGAAATATAAAGGTGGAAAAAAGTGTAAGAGCAGCCAGGCTAATGATCAGATAAATTGCGATTAATCGCAATTAATCACATAAAAATGTGGGATTAATTAGTTAATTTTTTTTATTATCGACTGACAGCCCCAGTAAATATTCATGAAGTTATGCTGCATTAAAGGAGAAGTCCGGGTTATTTCTTTTATCTGATGGCACCATCTAGTGGCAGACAAGCGTATCACACCATGACCTATTTACAGCATAAAGCTCCTCTAGCTGGCAAAACGGAGCTAAAACACATAGTTTTACAACTATTATGCTCATGCTATGTTGTGTTTTGTATTTTAAAGACTTGTCCACGAACCAGGTTGCCAACTCTGCATCAACCGTGGTACGTTCTTAAACGCTTAAGCACACTCTTTGATTATAACGGTGCGTGGACGATCTATTGGTGCTGACCGATGCTCAGTTCATATTGCACAGAGCTCTAGGGGATGGGGGGGGGG